AGGTTTACAAACCTTGCACTACGGGGCCAAACACTAGCAAAGGCTACAAAGAATGTCTCTATCAATCTATCTCGCTATATCTCTCTATCTCCTAAATCTCTCCCAAATCTTTCTCGGAATCTCTTTCAACTTTTTAAATACGCCCGGGCCATCTCGACCCTTCAATTAATTGAAAACCACTTGAAACGGGAAGATTTTATGGAAAATAGCACTCCTGATGCGAAACCACCCCAAAATGTGAAACCTTAAATACCAAACATGAACTTCGGATTCACATCAGGACTTGAGGTTTGGATTCACATCAAGATTTCAGGTTCACATTCGCACACATTCCCTACGAACTTCGGATTCGTGATATGTCTCCATGTTCGCATCTTGGACACATTCGCAGACTGTGGACGACGAACCTTAACCTTACTCCGAACTTCGACTTCGCATACCCCTCCCCCCTACGAACTTCGCGTCCACACTTATTTCCCAGTTTTTGACCAATTTTACATTTTGAGTTCGTTTTAGACGTAGGATTTTAACCAAATTCTTAAATTTGACATCTTAAACCCTCCAAACTCATATTTTATCCACATATTAGAGATTTATTAGATATAAGTATTGTTATTATTTAGGATAAGATCAAAAGGACATAAAGGTACTCTTTGACTTTTCCCATAAAGTTATAACACAAGTCTATGACAACTTTATGTCACTATTCACATCTAACTAGTTAATTCATTGTCTTTTTCATCGTCTTTCCGAAGAAGCCATTAAATCTACCTTTATAAAATCTTTATAAACAAATCCAATAGATCCTTTCCTTCTCCTCCAAGATTACCAACTCTCTTCTCCAAAAGCAAACTTTCACACACACACACACACACACCCACTCTCTCTCTCTCTCTCTCTCTATATATATATATATATATATATATATATATATATATATATATATATATATATATATATAATACTATTTCTCAAATAAGTGATTGAGTTCGTCCATTTTTGGTAAGTATCTTTCTTCAAACTTCTACACAATCTTCATATCTCCATACAAATCGTGAAACATTTACAAAAATATCTACATAATTGTTCATAGGATTTTCAAATCTTCAAGCATTTTTCAAGTGTTCTTGACTTGAAACTCCTCATTCTCAACCTTCCACAACAATAAATCACATAAGGCGAGTTCATACCCCTACGTTTTCATGCTTTCTTCAAGTTTTAAGCAGGGAAAATACAATTTACAACTCTAAAACATATTCTAAACTCAAACATCAGCTTTCAACAGAAAAATTATGGTCTAATCACGAATTGTTTTGACCATCATAAACTTAGTTTTTTTCAAAACTGTTCAATATGCAGATAGTTCAGGTTTATACGTTTCTAATGACTACTTTCAATCATTCATACGGTTTTTCTATAATTTATGGCCATTTTTACAAAATTGCCTATCATTTCAAAAGTGATTTCGGACGAGTCTGTGAAGATGAAAATTTTCACACCGGTTTGATACTACTAAAAATCATAATAAAAATTATGAACAAAGTATACTCATTTTTGAAACTCTAAAATTTTACGGAACTGCTTTTCGACATACGATAATTTTTCTATAATTTTTCTAATATCAGGGACAGAAATGTTAATACTAAAAAATATGTTTGCAAGTTCATTTGCACTTTATAACATGTTGAACAAAGTTTGTAGCAATATAAAAATACATGTTGATTACATTTCATCATATTTTAATAACATGAAAAATAAATAATCATTTACATAAGGGATTTTTGATCACTACAAACACATATTATAAACTATAATAGCTATAGTTTATGGTTCATTAATAACACGAACATATTAAGGAAGGTTTCATATCTACTACAAAAAGGGTTTTTCATTCACACTACATGTAAACTCGTTAAATCAAATTTGTGCGATACTACTTCATTGTACCTCCTATGGTACGAGTTAAAGTCCTGTAATTATAAACCAGGATCTCTTGGAGGGAGAGCATGATACTTGTATATAGATCTATATTGAGATTGACAATATCGCACCTAAGTTGCATGCAACAACTAGACCGGTAGGTCTGGGGTGACAAATGTCATAACGCACTACTAGAAAAACATCCTTTTACGATGCGCAATGCGTGTCGTAAAACACTCAGACGACGCGCAAATGCATGTCAAGGAAGGCCCTGTCATAACGAGAGACGACGCGCTTTTGCGCGTCGTCTATTTACGACGCGCATATACGACACGCATTTATGACACACATTTACGACACACAGTTATGACACGTAATGCGTATCAAGGAAGGCCCTGTCATAAAGAAAGACGACACACATTTGCGTGTTGTAACCTTACGACGCACGTGTTTATGACACACAATGTGTATCAAGGAAGCCCCTGTCATAAATGAAGATGGCACGCATTTGCGTGTCATGAACTTCAGTAACCATTTTTTATATGCATTTACGATATGTCTTTACGATACCCATTTACGCATAATACAAAAATATGTAAACAAATATATACCAAAACAATCAATTTTATCCAATAACATCATGTCAAACAATATCAAAAAATTGTAATACATTGATATTAAGGGGATCTATTTGTACATTGTTATTAAGGGGTTTTCCCTAACTATATAACATGATACTACATCCCTAACTATATAACCCGATCCTTCATGTCATTGGCTTGCCACCTGGTGTAACAGGTAAAAATGTTAAACTTGGTGTCATGGGCGGTTGTCCACTGGGCATTGATGGCAAGTAAGGGCTTGAAGCATTAGATGAAACAAAATAAGGTTTATCTTCACAACAAGCTAGTTTCCACCTTATAAGCAAGTGGGAGTATTGAAGTCCCCAAATTTTCATACATGAGCCTTAAAATCCTTGGCTGTCTACACAACAAGCTAGTTTCCACCAACACCATGGGCAAATATGTCCAAAAACTATTTGAATGACCTAATCATCTTTAAATAGAATCAAATCAACATCAATTCTCTATATCTTCTTCATTTAGACCAAAAAAAAATTAAAAGACCCTGAAAACACGCATAAGTATGTACTATAAATACAAAATAAAAACTTAATTACCAAATAAAATTACTTTACCTGCATACTGATAAGAAATCAACAATTATCTCTTGAGATATCAATTGATATCACTCATATTTACTGAATGATAGGTACCTGACAGAAGACAAAAGAGTTAAAAATAAAAATAAAAACTACTTACTTAACTACAATGTTAATCCTCTTAAAATTTTGATTGTCTTTTGTAAAATTTTCTCAATTTAAATCAAGGGCAGGACACAAGCAATATAAGTAAGGGGGCTAAACCAAGACAAATTCAGATATTTTTTCTGAATGGGTCAAACTCTAAATAATAAACTTATTAGATATTCCTAATATGTTAAAAAACAATCACACCAACAAATGATTGGAGTAGCATTTCATAACATGTCTCTATGGACAACAACACGCGAAGGTGGTGACATGACAAATTTTTAATTAATTGATTAAAAATGATGATTTTAAAATAAATGGTTTAAATAAATAGATGTGTTTGAATGCAAATGAAACAGAGACAACTCCTGGTTAGACCAGCCCACCAAATTACCAACTAATTAAATTATTAAATTATGGTTAGATAAATGAAATTTTAAAATAGAAAATAAATAGATCGGTTAACTTGTGTGTGTGTTGACCTGGTATTGTGTTGAGATTTTTTATGACTCACCCCTACTTCTGTACATGTAATCGGAAATAATAGAAAAGGGAAACTCAAGAGCAAGACGCCCAACCAAATATTAACTGCATCATGGTGTTGTAAAGGCCAATTTTGGTCCAAATACTCTGACATGAAAATGATAGTATGAGTATATATACAAGAGTAAAACGGCTATTTACTCATATCCAAACATCACTTACTGTTTTATACATGCAGCACATAAGTGTCATTAAATCATGAATCATTAAAGCAGCTAAATATAGAGTCATGAAACCTCCACTTAATCCAGCACCAAAATAAGCCTGCATTCAGAAAGCTGTAGGGGTGAGTGACAATTCGAGAATCTGTTAAAATTTGAGGAATAACATGTTTAACCAAAAACAATATTTGAAAACAGGGTTAGATGTGAAACATAGAAATGTAATAATTATCAAAGTGTTGGAATACTTGAAATCTAGATTATTTACCTTTTGATTGTAAATCTAAAGATTCCTCATGCACATATTATGTTCTTGTCAACTCTTGCATAGTGGTAAATTTCAATTTAGCTGGTTTTTCTGTTCTTTTCACCTGATCTTTTCATATCTCTAGGCATCCTATCTATTTATTCATTGCAGACTAGTGAACTTCCATCATTATGTTCTTGAAATCTTCATTGTTAAACTTTTAATTTTGAATCTGAGCTTTTTATTACAATATTACTATTGTAGCACTTACTTAATGCACACATATTTACTCTGATTTGGTTCTTGTCAACTCATACATGATGTTAAATTGCAACTGAGATATCCATTAAATCCACGTAAAATGACTATTTCACCCACATTTTTGTATTTTTACTAATTCTTCTGTACATGAACTCACAACAATGAACTTTCAATCAAATGATCCAGACTTCCATTTTACTTCTCATGAAATGTATCGTATTTCTTATTAGGAATCAACTTTATTGGTTTTAAATCAACTCTCTTAACATTTATTTCCTATCTTGCAGTTTTTACTAGTTTGCTTTATAACATTAATGGTAAAGTAAGAGTAAGATTGTTATCTCCTAACATTGATGATAAAATAAACTTCTTAATTCCAGGTTCAAGTATTCCAGCACTTTGCTTTATAACATTAATGGTAAAGTAAGAAATAACCTTTATGTTGTTCGAGGAAAACAGTATTTGCCTCCATCAGAGATTTGTCATGCAACTGACTACAAAAGAGAAAACCTAGAATTTATTTCACAATACATAAAAAATAAAAAGATTTAATGCTCTAAAAGGTAATTAAAAATCCATTTAACAACCTAAAAGTAGGTCGCTCTGCTTCAAGGACACTGAAAATCAGTTTTTCACCATCAGTGACAGGAGCTGGCCTTAATGCCATTTTATGGAAGAATCTTATCTATAAAAAGAACAAAATATGATTTTTTATTGAGAAATAAAAAAATTATAAAAATACACCTATCAGATTAATTAATTTACTTATTGGGATACCAAGCATCGGTGAGAGTCCGGGTTTCCAGCTTCCAGTCGTTGAAGTTCCTTCAGGGCCTAATGACACACAAAAGTTAGTTAAGTTATTATCGAAATCAAATAAAAGAAACTTGTTCTTTTTTTTTTTATAATTTCCATCCATATTTTTATTTGAAATAAGATTACCTGTAATGCAAGCACGATCTTTTGTTTTTGCATATTTACTTCAAAAGAAAGCAAATGTGTCTCCAAGGAATCAAATGAATGTTTTTGAAGCAGCTTTAGATACTTTCCAGCTTCCATTAATGGATCTTCAGTCTAATATTTACATTTAGAAAATATTACAAGAGTAATTCCATCAAGCAATCTATTGGGGGGGGGGGGGGGGGGGTTACCTGCAATAGCTTCTCTCCATGTTGATCTTGATCAACTGGCTTCACATTTCGTATCCCAGACTTAGAAACACCACCCACTACTTCCTCACTTTTCACTTCTACCTCCTTAAGAAATCATAAAACAAAATAACTATTAAACAAATTAAACAGTTTTTGTATCCATAATATGTAAAGAATTTATACTTTCTTAGCTCGTGCTTCATCCTTCCTCTGTTTTTGCCTTAATTTCTTTTTCTGAGAAGCCGGTAGTTTTTCCAAATCATCGTCTTTTTCGATAGATGACTTTGAAGGAGAATCATACAACTTAATATAACATCTGCATCAAACAATACAAAAAGAAAATCAAATTTCAAAAGGTAATGAGAGATTTTACAAATGTAACCGAATCATCCGCATTACCTTATAGCTCAAACTGCTGCCTTCCTAAAGTAATTATGTGCATGAAGTCGATCTTGAAACCTTAACATTTCAATATATGCACATAGAGTCATTTTTCTTAAACAATAAGAATGAAAATCAAATAGACTATAGCATTCAGAAGAGGCTGCATAAAGTCCATACTTCACAATCATTAGAAAAAGTAACCGCCTGAGAGTTGAAAACCAACAAGATTCAGGTTGTTAAAAGTCGAAAACAAATTATAAAAAATAAACTGAAAAGAATAGAATAGAAAAGAAAAACTAACTTCTACCATTGCTTGGTGATTTCTTAATTAAAATAACATCACACCATCATTTTACATAAATAATACTAGTGATTAATAGGAATAACCGACTATTTGATAAAGCAACCTGAGAAAGTAGATATGCAGCTATGTGAACTGGACTAGCATATTTATCATCAATCACAAGAACTTCAGATATCCCTGCATGCATGTCAATGGATACTATAGCCTCACTGTTCTGTCAAGTGTCGATATTCAAATGCATAGGAACTGCATTTGGATACTATAGTTTGGGCAATGGCCGAGGGCATCATTCCTGAGGTGCATTCAAATGCAGTTACTATTCTATCAAGTGCCAATATTAAACTTATTAATGTTGTTAGGAACTGATAGTTTTAAAAGAGTGTTTGATTCAATCATTCAATAGTTAAAATTGTACTAATTTTTGTGATAAAGTGGTGTTGAAACTTCAAAGAGTGTTTGATTGAATCATTGAATAGGTAAAATTGTTTAAATTTGATAAAGAGGTTAAGATGTTATCTTTCACAACAAGTGAAATCTATACATCATCATGAAAAGGAATTAGTATAATTAAGAGCAGCTGGTCACCATGATTTTACATGAATAATACCATAAAAGGCAGTAGTAGCCATATAAGGCTGACAAATACGAAACATGATTATACAAGAACAAGATTTAAGTATAAAGATGAAAAAGAACCTTAAAACCACACCACATCATTCACATGTATATCTTCTTATTTCTTAAGCAGTAGCTTCAAGTTTCTCTTTATACTCAAGTGGTGGCTGAATGGTGCAGATCAGCTTCCGATCACCATACAATTTATCCACACGGCTATCACACATAATTAACCAAACCTTAGTTAATCAATCTTTAACCACATCAATCAACAATTCAATATTCAAAAAAAAAAAAAATTATTCAGATTAAATTTTATCCGAGAGAGAGAGAGAGAGAGAGAGAGAGAGAGAGAGAGACGAACATGTAGTAGGCCAGAACTTAGCAGCACGAAGCCATGGTGCAGGGTAAGCTGCATATTCTCTAGAGTATGATTTTGTCCACTTATCAGCCATGAGTAGTTGTAGTGGATGAGGTGCTCCCTACAAATTTTATAGTTTCCCTCATTATCCCTCATATAACTCTTGAACATATAATACAAAAACAGTCAGAACTTAGTTATTGTTATAATTACCTTGATGACATTGTTGTTGATGTCCACTGTTCCTTTCACAATTTCTGCGATTTCTTGTCTAATGGAGATCAAAGCAACACAAAACTTGTCCAACTCAGCCTACAACTCAAAAATTCCACATGTTATGTTATATAAAAGGAAAGGAAAGGAAAAAAACATTATAACTTTTAAAGAAACTTTACTCTTTTTAAAAAAATACATTGCTTTCACTTTCAGTGGGTTCAATCATGAGTGTTCCTGGAACTGGCGATGACATAATTGGACCATGAAACTCGTAATCACTCAGACGTTTTGCAAAATCTTCTGGCACTATTCAGCACTTGTCTGATTATGAATATGACTCAAGTTAGTTGCTATTTCTTTTTGACTTAACAAAAAATATGACTAAATAATATTATAACTTACTTTCAAGGGTCTCAAAAACTCATGGGCAACTGTTCCATTCAGACCACGGAAAAGAATGGGATAGTGACTCTGCAATGTAATTAATCCCAAAGGAAAAAAAATGAGAACTTGATAATAATAATTAAAAAAATATTATATATTTGTTCTTAATGAATAGGGAAAGAAAGAAATTGAAACCTCAAGACGTTTTGCCATATAGTTTGCATTCAAGATAGCTATATTGGATGAATTTGTAAGTCCATGAGATCCCATCATGGCAATGTATGTATATGATATAGGCAAGATAAGTGTTGAACCCCAAGGTGTTGCTGAAATCGTGCCAAGTGGCTTACTTTGCTCAGGGGCTGGTATGCCTCCAGTTGCAACCTTTAAATCAAGATTTACAAATTAAATCATATAAACTCAACAACATATTACTCTAATTACAAATAAACATCAAACATAAAAAATTATTGTTTTGTCTTACCACAGGGTGTGAAGGCAAGTAGGCTGCCAAGTGTTTCTTCACACCAATGGGGCCCATTCCAGGCCCACCACCACCATGTCGAATGCAGAATGTCTTGTGAATGTTTAGATGACAAACATCAACCCCAATCCACCTTGGACTTGTTAATCCAACCTGTAAAAAATAAAACCCAAATAATTTTTATATGATGTTTCAATTTTGTTAGCTCCATTAAAACGACACAAGAAGTATAATGTTTATGTACCTGTGCATACATGTTAGCTCCATCCATGTAAACTTGACCTCCATTGTCATGAATAATCTTGCAAATGTCATCAATACCCTCCTCATAAACTCCATGAGTAGAAGGATAGGTAACCTAAAAAAAGAGAATTTACTTTAGTTTTTAATCTTTTGTCTATTATATATATATATATATATATATATATATATATATATATATATATATATATAATGTTTTGATAAAAAAAATTGCTTACCATAAGAGCAGATAGATACTCCTTGTTTGCTTCAGCAGCCTTGCATACCTTTTCAATATTGATATTACCTTTGGATTTAGTTCCCACGGTAATGATTTTCATTCCACACATAGCTGCACTTGCAAGATTTGTTCCATGTGCAGACACATGGATGATGCATACATTACGATGATGATCTCATCTCGCCTATAGTTGACCAAAGTCAATGACTTTGACTTTATATATATATATATATATATATATATATATATATATATATATATATATATAAAGTCAAAGTCATTGACTTTGGTCAACTATAGGCGAGATGAGATCATCATCGTAATGTATGCATCATCCATATATATATATATATATATATATATATATATATATATATATATATATATATATATATATATATATATATATATATATATATATATATATATATATATATATATATGGGAAAAGTGAATATACCCTTAAGGGTAAATAAGCTTTGGTACCTAAACTTACCATACTACGTCGTTTTGTATTATATATATACATTGTAATTGTCTAATGCTCTTATAATTCAACTTCTAACTTGATTTCATTCAAAGATTTTTATAAATTTCACATTTATTTTCCTTTTACATAATTTTCACTTTCAACTATAATATATATAGCCTAATTGTTGTTCGTCAAAAAGATGTGATGTATGAGTAAGATAACAATGAAAATTTTAAAATCTTTAAAGTAAATCAAGTTAAGGATTGAGGTTGAAGAACATTATAATAAATATATCAAACAAAACGACGTATTATGGTGAGTTTGGGTACCTAAGCTTATATACCATTAAGGGTATATTCACTTTTCCCATATATATATATATATATATATATATATATATATATATATATATATATATATATATATATATATCATTATATAAAAGGGTATAATTTAGCATACCATATGATAAGCTCGGATAACCATCAGCCCAACATATTCTCCAGCAGCTCAAGCATTTGGTTGCAAAGAGAAACAGTCAAATCCGGTTATGATACACAGCATGTCCTCCAAATTCTTGAACATTTGCTGCAAGATATTTTTTTATGTTTGTCTCAGGTTAAAAAAATCTATAGAAATATAATTTGGAATTGTAAGTCAAAATTAGAAAGATTTGATTAACTGATACCCCTGTGCCTGTTGGGTAGGAGAAAATGGATGCATATCTGCAAAGGTTGGCCATGTCACATGCATTATCTCTGTAGTTGCATTATGCTTCATGGTACAAGATCCCATAGGAATCATACTGTGGCATAATGACAGATCCTTTGACTACAACTTACTAATGTATCTTAGTAGCTCATGCTCCGTATGATAACTAAAATAAATAAATAAAGAAAGAACCAGGAAAAGCCTTTTACATGTTAAAAAAGTGACTAAGTTTTGAAAACAGTATCATACGTGTTGAAAATTGAATGAGTCAGATATGGGGTCTCTCTAACAAGTCCGGAAGGGATAACATCCCGAACCTGTGCTGCAAGTGATGTGGCACTGAATGTCACCTAGAATCAAGAATCAAGAATCAAGTTTCTTGATTTATATAAATATTTGTTATATCAAAAGAAAGGACAAAGTACAAACTCACCGGTTTTCCCAAGGCGAAAACTTTGAACATCCTGAACCTCCACCATGAGAGCCCACTTCAGTTGTCGCCGTTATTTCGCCAACTCTAGCCATTAGATGTAATCATGTGTGTAGATACTTACATCACCAAAGATAGGAGCGGAGGCAACAACAGATGAGCCTGGTTCAGAAAACCAGAAGGGTGATTATGGTTTTCCAGAGACAAACATAGAGAGAGAGAGAGAGAGAGAATGCACCTCAGGAATGATGCCCTCGGCCATTGCCAAAGCCAATCAGATACGAAATTAAGGGCTTTGAGCACAGCGGGATGAAAATATCACATATAGCTACCGAACCAGACCAAAATTACATTATGCCACCTCAGGAATGATGCCCTCGACCATTGCCCAACCTGGCCATGCCTTGGGTCGGGCCTGGTAGTCATAGTAGATGGAGTACGGTTGATAGGAGGTGGATCCAAAACTTAGAACCCCAATCGCTAGTGAGTGTAAGAATTCGTAGTCGTCAGCATAGGCATGTGTGAGAGTAAGGAGTCGCCGACACTGCGAGGATGAAACTTGATTAATTTTGTGGAGGTCTCCCATAAAAGCCCTAGCTGGTTGATAGAGGTGTTGATTGTTGATGATGAAGGGCCGATAGGGTTTCATCGATTTTGATTGTGGTAATACTAGTTGGGGGAGGATAAGATAGCTTCGAAGAAGGTCACAAATCTGGAGAAAGGAAAAATGAAGACATCGTTGCGAATTGACGGTGGTTGTGTCTAGGGTTAGAGAGAAGGAGGAGGGAGAAAATGGCTCTCTGTGCGATTTTATGAGAGATAAGGGAGATTACTTCAAAATTTTAGAATTTTCTAATTTTATAGGATCCCTCTTTAAAAACGCGCGTTTAAATGAAAAAATATAAAGAAAAATTTGTAGACGACATCCATTTAATTTAGGTGCCCTCTGTGTTTGTAATTTTTTTTGTGGACAATAATTTTAGGGCACGCACAAATACGTGTCCTCTATCGTTCAAAATTTGGAAGGCTGACATTATTTTTAAGGACATATAAAAATGCGTATCGTAAATTAGCGAATGTCATTGTTCGCACGTCATTAAAGGGTATTTTTCTTATAGTGACATTTACGACGCATGAACAACGTCGCAACAGGTCATCTATGTCATTAGCACGGTTATAATAACTCACATAGGGAAATAACAATACATATAGTTTACGGGGAATTTCTACATTCAAACAGTTTTATTCGCTTTAAAACTGAACATACTATCAAAAGTATGAAATAACACTTGTACATTCGGTCTTGGGTTTTAAGACTGTATTTCCTTTACACTACAAGAAAAAGACCCTTTTACGACGCGCAAATCACGACACTCATTGATTTATGTTACGTAAAGGAGAGTGACATTAAAAGAGTGTCATCTCTTAAAAAAATTTATTGATTTAGGTCACGCATTATTGTATGCATTTAAATTAATGTCTTATGTAAAAAAAAAGAAAAAAAACGGAGAGCACTTGTGCGTCCTCTGTGAATGTCGTTTTATATTTTTTTAAGAAACGCGCGCCTCTCTTCCTAGAGGGAAAATGAAATCCCGAAAAAATTTTAAACCTCTCTTTCTTCTCCTATTTCTTTTTGATCTGTTCTCTGATATCTCCTCTCCTTCGTCTCCGCCCCTCACCCACCTCCACTACCTCCCACCCACACTGACTCTTCAGGCCTGCACGACGACGATGTACTGGCCTTATCGACCAACACTTCATCCACCATCACCATTGTTAAACCTTGCTGTTAAACCTTGCAAAATCCTTATATAATATTCCGACGACAATCACATTCCGACGAACCCTTAGGTGGCATCTCCGGTGGAAATAAAAGGTGAAATTGAAAACTCCCTATAATTAAGAGAGAGAGAGAGAGAGAGAGAGAGTAAATAAAAATGGGAATCGAAGCCGGGGAGTCCTCTGGTGCCGGACGTCTCGCGACGAGCAGTCGTAGAGAAGATGTCGGTCTAGCTACCACCCCAACCAGTTGTTGGGTTTTGAGCAATCTAACACTTCCTAAGTGTGCATGCAACCCTAATAAACCTTGGATCTATGTTTGTCTAAATACATGAAAAATAATAATTTTCCAAGGTTTATAACCTATCTAACATGGCATGGGGAACATTTCAACATAAAAGAGTTAGAAGAGATTACATACCTTTTGGTGAGTTTGGTTCTAAGGAGTTTGAGGGCCAAGCACCAATAGTGTGAATGCCTCAAATGGAATCACAAACACCACAAACTCTTGCAAAACTTTGAGAGAGTATACACCTTGTATAAAATCGGCCACACACATGCACACACACACTAGTTCACTAGTTTTCTCTTAGGCTCCATTTCATGCTCCATAAGCATGCTTATATAGTGTGCATGGTTAGGGTGAAACCCTAATAACCCATGTCTTTTCCTTTTCCAAGGATCCATGGGTTAAAAGCTCCATGGATCATCCATGGACTTCCACATAAGCCTAGCCCATTAACAAATGAGTATTAGCCCACACTATATAAAACAAATAGCCCATAATCTAATTAGTCTTTTCTTTTAATCTCTAAATTAATTCATAATTAATTTAAGACTAAAACTAATTAAATAACGTAACTTCATATTAATATATTATAACCCCATAATATATTAATAAACATATGTGTATAACTCTCATAAAATTATCCATAATAGTTTGGATGAGATGCAACCCAAATGGACCATGCCCGTCGGGTCAAGTATATACCAAATAAGTTATGGACTTAGACACCTTATCCAACAGACTCCCACTTGGATAAGTCTAATAACTATATTGCCCTATAACTTCAGGAACCAACCAGCAATCGTAGCTCTCGAAAACTCCCTCGAACAATGAAGACTCTGTCGAACTATGAAGCGCCATTTTAGATAAGTGATCACACAATCCTCTGTTCTCATGATATCAGCCGGACAAACACATGGAACTATGTCTTGCTTATTGTCTAGCAGTTGTTTCTCGATTTTCCGATTTGTTTGACGAAGAACTTCACTGAACACATCGGTTTAGTTCTGACCAGGCCTGGTACATGGGTCAACACAAAATCATCGAGGGGCCCAGATATCGCTTCTATTTCTAGAAGGAACAGATAAACTTCGACTGATATGCTTGTTCTACTACTTATTGAATTGTACACAAAGGCACGTTTTATAACATCAAGTTACTGATGCGTTTACGTGCAATCAATGCACAACCAACTCATAGGTAACAACTCATATCTCTAGGTTTAAAGATTTATATGATGTTATCGTCTCACGATCACTCGAGATAAATTCCATGAAGTGATACAAGTGAGCGTGGGTTTATACCAATACTCATAACTTATGAGTACTCATGAATGTTGCAGCAACCATTGCCATGTCTAAACACCTTTAAGGCATCTACAAACCCAATTCATGACAATCTTGATTCATACCTACTTCCGACGTATGATCG